TATATATATATATATATATACGTATATGTACATGTATATATATTTTACACCACCGCCGTCGGTGCTGCTCGCCTTTCAGAATGGGGACCGAACACTTGATAAAGATTATCATGTGTTCAGCTGGCGGTACAAAGCAACTAGCAAGCCCACAAACTAAAAAAACACAACTCACCACATAAACGAGTCACTGACAAACGAATGCATGTTGGTCACTTTGGCTGACAAATTGGCCAAGGCAGCGAGGATATTCACGTGAAGGTATCGATCCTGTGGTGGTCAGAGGAACTACAATCAACAATGACGAACCAGGCCAACAACAAACAAGATTACACACACAAGATGGGTGATCAGAGAAGTTATGGGAGTCAGAAAAGTAGTATGGCACATTTAGCGATGAATAATAAGGAGCGTAGTCGTTCGGCGAAGAGCTCATCTGTCAGTTTGCTTAATATTAAAATAATGAGCAGGTCGGGAGACGAAATGTCGACGAAACGTCGCCAAAACTTGAACAGAGTAGTGACTCGACCGTTTCCGAGGAACTTTACATACCCCCAGACTCAATAAGATAGAAGGAAGCTGAGTAAAAAGGAAACGCTGGTTTGAAAAGTAGGCTAAGATGGTGGTACCATAGGAGCTACACTAATGAGCACCGAGTACGAGAAGTTTGGATAGAGAAGATTCAACGGCAAGGATGTTGCACACGTTTGCTCAACAACATACAAGGAGCAATAGTTCTTGGCATATATTCTAGAAAGTAGTCTTCTCATCAGGTTTCAATAAAATCATTCCAGTTACACGTTACGTGTAAGATAGTGTGACCATGTACTATAATACCGTAGCCTCTACAGAGTTGCAAAGCAATGTTTTACACCTTTATTCTTCGCTTAGGCACGATCAGACACCAGCTAATCCGGTCTGTCCGCAACTGCTTTCGGAACATTTCAAACGACTTCAGCTGCATGGCTCCGTATAGAATAACAATAAACTTTCCCGTGGGAAATAATGTCAATCAGTGTACAACCTGGATGAACTGACAACTAGAAATCCCAGAACCAGATAGGGGAGGGGGAGAAATCAAAGGCTTACCTTGAGTCGATTAAGGTGATACCGAATTGTACGGAGAAGAATCAGGATGAGGAGACTGCCACGCGACACACCGGAAATACGACGGTTGGCAGACCAGGTAACCCAGTTGATGGGCTACATGGTTAAACATGAAGTGAGTATAATGTAGATTTATGACGGCATTGAGAATTCAAAAAAGGGACGACAGTAAAACGTACATGCTATGCAACACCTCAAGTAACTAATGCTCCCAAGGGTCTGTGTACTGTCGAAAGTGGGTATTTAATGAAAAGAAGTGAAGTCACAATTCGCGTCTTCACGAAATGTTTGAGTGACCTGTCACCCTGCCACGGAAACCTGATAAACGTGAAACGGCAAAAGCAGGTGCCAGATATCATCGGCTGCCTGCCTCGAGGGAACTGGTTAAACCAAACTAAACAGTAGCCAAAGCAGGAACCAGTTTCGGTAGACTGGGAATTCGACGACCGACCGTTTGCCACCCTCTTCCGGCTGCCATGCAGATCGAAATTAGGTTTTTAGGGATCAAATTTGCACGTCAGAACAAAAAACGGGTACAGCGGGAACGCAACAGATAAAAAAATCCCCATAAAACCTCAGTGATGCATTTTACAAGTGCTTCCGCACACACTACGGCGTCCTTGAATACAGGCACATTCCGTACTGGGCAGCTAAAGTGACCGAAATGCGCAAGATAGATGACATTTCTATGCGCCTTCAAATGGACATTCTAAAATCGGAGACTAGAAATACAACAGATTCAGACCACATACTCGTGTTCACGCCGAGCTTCGCCACACTACAAAATCGATTCTGGTAGAGAACCAATCATCATTTAGCTGTAGCACCCTTTCGGTGTCCAAATGCCATGCCACCAGAAGGAAGCGCCAGGGCTGAGATATTTTCAGGTTGCCCAGGCCTAGACAGGGGAAGTCGAGAGGCAGAGGTCGGGTTCAAACCACGGACCTTCTGGTCAGCAAGCTCGCGCTCCAATCAGTGAGCCATGTCGCCCCCGTAGAGAATCAGTCGTCTACGTAAAAAAGCTCAATACAATAAGCTACTGTGGATCAGCTAGGCTATGTGCGACAACAGATAAACGACTGGATAACTGCGGATGAGCTATTTGCCTCTAAACGGAAACGGCTGACTTTCGCAAGCTGCAGCAACAGGTCTTTAACCTCGCAGTCGAATGGTCCATTGAATAAGTTTTGAAGGACTATTCAGACCGAGTCACTAAAATTGGATGGCGGACTCGGAATGTGCTGAAGACAGGATCTGATAAGTTAGAAGAACTAAGGGGCATACTAGACAAGCCAACTCTCTAAATAGCAACTGTTAGACGAAATCAACGCTAAGGAAAACGGATCTTTTTCTACTGTATGGATGTGCTCGCGCGACCTCTCAAGATAGACGGTAAACAGATCAAACAAGTTACTGCATCTAAATATCCGAGTTCAATTATCTTACAGAAAGAAACACCAAAATCGGAGTGGAAACGCCAGACCCGCTTTCGTGCAGCTGAAGAGACGAACTAGCCTGTACAAGAAGAATTATGGCTTTCAACAAGAAGGGTCACGCATGAAATACGGTCTCTACATGGATACCCGGAAGCTGAAGACACTTTACCGCTGATATCTTTGACGAATACTAAAAAGTTCGGTACCTAGTGCAGCCACGAGTTACGGTAGCGACGTCAGATGTTAGTGACGACTCCCACAATGGCTTGAGCATCCAATGAGCTAGCTCAATGCTGAAATTCCATGGGGCGTGTGTCATGCTAAAAGCAGAGGACAACCGTAGACGTGGCCGGTCACGGTCTACGGACTTCGCTAATGGAAGAAACACTGGGTCAGGATGTATGTGAGGCTACCGACCGAGGCCAACACATCCGGTCGTTCAAAAACAAAAAGTCAAAATATTGGTAATCCATCCCCACCCTTCAGTTGAACTACAAGGATGGTGGTCGAAGAACAAACAATACTTAAACACCTCATAGGATAAAGGGAAACAAGCAATCCCGAATCGCATTGCGCAGTGAATCACAATAGGTTAACCCAATCATACACAAGCGCACCAAAGGCACTGGATCGCAAGCGCAAATAGGCAAAAGTGAACATGCGAACCGGGGGCAGAACCGGGCTTCCCAACTTATTTCGGACGCTTATTACAAACCCGACAAGCTGAAATAATTCTCCTCATGGTGATGCAAATTTCCCGACGACAGTGGTGCAAAACTTCGGAATCAAGAAAAACTCTAACTAGCTGATGTGTTCTATACAGACGGGGTTCAAAGGCTTAGTACCGACCGCCTCGTCGGTGGTTGATAATTCTTGAAACGCCAGTTCTGAAGTACTCGATAAAGACGCTTGCATGATGCCCCAGTTCAAGTACAAGACGGTTCTCAGGAGGGAGACTAGCATTTTCAGTCTAAATATGAATCTTAAGGGCGTAGAGTACTCAGTTACAGCAAAACAACTCACCACAGAATGGATTTCTTCGTTAAACTGTTCGCTCTCCGTTAGGATAAGCACTATAATGAGGGCCATGTACACCAGAGGAGAACTATCACCGGGTGATCGGTAGATTATGTTCAGCAGCGGCAACAGCTGGGAGGCGAAAAAGACGCGAGTTAGCGAACTTCAGGAAAACTATAGCAGACCGACCTATTCACAGAAGCTTCTGTAGAGTGGCGTTAAACTATCTCACAAGGGAACCCACGCATGGACGAATAGCAAAACGGCGAGCATGAATGATTGAGGCGCTATCACCGAGCTTTTGCAATAGAACAAAAAAACTGACACCTTCACGCAACTAGCTAAGGACAATCCCGATTGCGACCCCCTAACAGAATTTTAATAAGTTCCTTTCTATTTACACCTACATAAGCTAGACAGTCACGCGATGAAAATTAGATCGATAGTCTAACCAATATTCATTCGGACAGCTTCACCAAAGTTGATTCACAATAGCAATCACCATGCCAAATGGACATCAATGTCACCGGTATTCCAACAAAGTCGAAAGTAACGCGGACAATATAGTCCAGAGATTAGATCGCAGACACACTCATTCCATTAACAGGTTGGAAGATTATTTGGCCCCGATTGCATATACGACAGGAATTGACATGACCTACGGAAGGCAGTTCATAGATAGCAAAAGTCGAACCAGGTCTTCAAAAAAGTCATAATGAGTCGAAAATCCCATACCGACGTGCAACGCACCGCCGCTCGTACACCAATAATTGGGGGCCTGAATGCAAACCCCTTTGGCAGTTCGCTTGGGATAAACAAAAATGAATGCTAGACGACGCCATTTCTGGCTGAAATCGTTCAACTGTAGAAACATTTCGGTGCCCAACTGTCATTCCACCGGAACGAATCACTACAGCTGGAATATTGCCAGGTTGCTAAAGCCTAGACAGGAGAAGTCGGGTTCGAACCACGGGACTTCCGGTCAGTAAATTCGCGCTTGAACCAATGAGCCACCTCTTCTCGAAAGAATGAACCCGGTTACCTTGTGCCGAAACTCTGCTGCGATTATTTCAGTTGAGGAGATTCACGCTGATGCGTGAGTTTTCAGATAGACTACTTGATAACAAACAAACATAAGATACAGTAACGACCAACACTAACAGTCGATCGTTTGATGTTCTGACTTTGGAAAGTCATAACGAAGATGATATGAAAGGCAGGATAACTGCATGCTTCCACGGTTTACCGACNAAAGAATGAACCCACCTACCTTGTGCCGAAACTCTGCTGCGATTATTTCAGTTGAGGAGATTCACGCTGATGCGTGAGTTTTCAGATAGACTACTTGATAACAAACAAACATAAGATACAGTAACGACCAACACTAACAGTCGATCGTTTGATGTTCTGACTTTGGAAAGTCATAACGAAGATGATATGAAAGGCAGGATGACTGCATGCTTCCACGGTTTACCGACCTCATTTACAGCCTATGCCAGGCGAGCAGCTGTGACCGATGCAGTAAATCCTACACATCTAACCATGAGAAATAGGTCTGACCTACCAATTTATCATAGTTGCGCCTTTGTAGTAGAAAGTTCCGAAAGTGCGCATTTCGATGAAGCAGTAGATAGAGAAGCAATGTGCTATTGTCTTGATGTAACGTGTCGGCAGCGGTGTCCCGAATGCTCAAAAAGTCCACGGAAAATCCCGTCATTTCGGGTGGTGTCACAGACACAACGCCCTTGAGAGAAGCGGACGTTTGAGGAAGTTCTGGCCATACAAAAGGTGGGAGTATGAAAGATCAAACGGGATATCTCGGGAAACACAAAAAATGGAAACATTGGCCACAGTAACCGAAATTCGGTTTAGAGTGTCAAAATACAGGGTGACAGTTTATTCGAAGCATCTATCGAACAAGTAGCTGCATCAAACTGCTCAATGTTTCATACAGAAATCATCTGAGCATTCCTGGTATGAAACTGCCCCAGAAAAAAACGGCTGTGGATTGAATGACGGTAACAAAACCGATTAGCAACTACTAATGGAAAAGGTAATGGTCTCGTAGACCAGTTGCGTGCTGTTATCACAAAGAGATAAACACATAGCAAGCAACATGCGCATCATAGCTGTGGAACCACAACTGTTAACTCTTCTCTGACACAAGTATCAGTCCCTGTAGACGCGTGAACCAGTTTCACGGGTGTCACAGTGCATTATTACGGTGGAATTTTGAACTCGAGAGTGCATTACCAGTTTACGCTACGTGCAGCGCAGCGCAGCAGATAAACAGGCAATTTCCGAACGGAATCATAAGATTAGCCAACAATTTGGTCTCATTAACTGAGACAACCGGGTATTTCTCACATTTGAACCTCATTGGTGATTCCGATACTCTAAGAGCGTATTAGACGCGTCCATCGTGTCAATGATAAAAAGTGGATGTTGGACAGACGATGATTTTGTTCTTCGTAGGACATGCGATGCCTAACAGCGTGGGGTGGGTCAATTAAAACTGATATTATAAAGGAGCCGACTAAGGAGCTCCCTTTCAGACGAAGTTAAAAACCTGCTGACTGTTTCCCAATTTTTTCTGGAGACCGGGTGGTAGATATGTTTTACTATTCTATAGTGAGCGAGAGAGGAGGTCCTAATCCAGGCAAAAGTGCAAAACGGAGTGCCAAAGAAAATAAAACAGAAACTCTGTGTGATACTCCATGCTACGATCTACAACAGAGCCGTGCTACCAAAATTGCAACAGTTAAGTTGCTTACAGACCTATGAAACACACAGAAAGCTTTTTAAAGTTAATTCGAACAAAGCCTACCTCGGCGAGATGACCCAAGTGGTTAGAGCGCGAATTTACTGACCGGAAGGTCCGTGGTTCGAACCCGACCTCCGCCTCTCGACTTCCCCTGTCTAGGTTTGGGCGACCTGGCAGTATCCCAGCCTCCGTGCCTCCTTCGGGTGGCATGGCAGTTAGGCAGCGGAAGGGTACAGCAGCTGGACATAAGTTTGTCGAATGTATTAGATTGTGTACNATAAAACAGAAACTCTGTGTGATACTCCATGCTACGATCTACAACAGAGCCGTGCTACCAAAATTGCAACAGTTAAGTTGCTTACAGACCTATGAAACACACAGAAAGCTTTTTAAAGTTAATTCGAACAAAGCCTACCTAGGCGAGATGGCCCAAGTGGTTAGAGCGCGAATTTACTGACCGGAAGGTCCGTGGTTCGAACCCGACCTCCGCCTCTCGACTTCCCCTGTCTAGGTTTGGGCGACCTGGCAGTATCCCAGCCTCCGTGCCTCCTTCGGGTGGCATGGCAGTTAGGCACCGGAAGGGTACTGCAGCTGGACATAAGTTTGTCGAATGTATTAGATTGTGTACACCCCAATTCCATCAGATTGTTGCCCATGGGAAGTTCGCCTTCGAATGTACCTCACCCGGTGGAAAGTACTGGATCCGCATGTGGACCGGTATTTGCCAAATCACCCAATCCTCAAAGAAAAAGGGTTCTCAAAACTATCACTCCGGCATTCATGGTCTATACCAATGTGCAAGAATCCTCTGCGCTGCTATGCCGAACAATTTTCGTGCGTTTTTAGCCGTATAGTAGCGTTTGTTTATGGTAATGTGCCCACCACAATAAGACGCAAAGCATTGCTGTAGCTTTCTTCAACAAACCAAATAATGATTTTTTACAACGCATTCACAACTGCGAAGGAATTGAACTGGTGTTGATAAAAGTTCTGCCTACATGTTTGATTTAAACAAAAATATTTAAAAAATCGTTCAGCTGTGACACCTTTTCGGCTGCTAACTGCCATACCACCTGAAAGAGGCACGAGGGCTGGGATACTGCCAGGTTGCCCAGGCCTAGACAGGGGAAGTCAAGAGGCAGAGGCCGGGTTCAAACCACGGAACTTCTGGTCAATAAATCCGCGCTCTAAGCATTGAGCGATCCCGCCCCTGCATTTAAACAGCGTTCGGAAAATCTCACATTACGAGATTCCTGTTCAGGGGAAATTTCAGATTCAGATGTGGGACGATATGGTGTGTTTGCAAGCACAATCACTTTGAGACTAGACGATAAATCAAGGCAGTATGAAATGGTCGAAAGTTTGATGCAAAACAAGGGAGTTCCTAAATATACAAACAGGAAGCATATTCAGCGCGGTCCTAATAGATATCAGTTTCGCAACGAAGCCAATGTAACATTCGAACTCTCTGTTTCACTGCCAAAACGCAAGTTCAAGCATGTGTATTCACACCCTCTCTGAATGATATTCATAAATGATTATCGACAATTTCGTCTCAACTGGTTCATCCTAAAATGTTGATGTGCCCCGCTATTGAGTTCTTTATGGCCCCCGATAGGAAAGGTTAGACAGCTTCGTTCTTTTAATCTCTGGACAGTAGACGTCTATTTGTTGTCGGTCAGGTGACTATTAATCTGATCGGTAAGCTCGGCCAGAGTAAGAGAATCGTAAGCTAAAGTGACTGAAGATAACTTAGTACTGGATTCTCTGAATTCTGGGTTAAACTGCTTGAAGAGCAAATGAATCTGTAGCATTGAACGTCTGATATCTGCATAGTTGAGTATAAAGTGAATTCGCTTAACGATCAGCTGATGATCATACAGCAAAACTATCCACCACATGCATGTGGTCACGTGTATCGGGGTAATTTTCGAAAGAGCACCCGAAGTGACAGTTAGTTTTCTGATTTTCAGTCAACACTGTGGGAACAGTGAAAGTTGAATGATCAAGGTCATTATGAGGTTGCTTAACTTTCAGCGCGCTGTCTGATGGCACGAGGGAACGGAGTGTGTCTGTGTTCTACCAGAATGCATATGAAGTGGTTTCACCATTTTCCAAAAAAAATGACAGTAAAAGATTAGCTGATGTAGGCAGTGGCGTTAAAACACAAAAGGAAAGTATCTGTATCTATCTTTGATTGAGTTGAGCGCTCCAGGATCTTCGCGCCCTACTGGATGATGTCTCCTTAAGCCTAATTCGAAATGTTACAAGACATGAAAGGTAACCGATCCTGATAGCGACCAAAATGTCAATTACTAGCAGTAGTAGGTGGTTAAAGTTTGCGTCTTGCACCAGACCCGTGTCGGCAGACAAGGTGTGCTCGGTCGACGCGGCTGAAGACGTCTTACTCCGATGTGACGATCTATTGCGATTTCTTCATTTTCGTTTGAAAGTGTAGTCAGACTGTTCGTGATCCCTTTTGACAAAACACGAGACTCTGTTGTATTAATCCTTCCGCTTTCCTTCCAATCGCTGCTAAAACGTTCCTTCTAATGGCCGTATGGCAGTCAAGCGCCAGTGATTAAGACTGATGTTTTGCTGCCGGTGGTGATTCACGGGAACCTAATCAAGATAGCTGATTGCCATCTACAAGGGTCTAACGAAGGGGTTTGCAGCTCACCCACAAATCCGAACTTTATAGGAGTGTCAGGACGCGCCCAGACATGGAAAAATTACTTGTGAAGAGAGTGACGCATCCCCAAGGTCACCATCGGTAGGACACGTTCGGAAAGCAGGTGCGTTGGCGGAGCACACCAAACACGGCTTAGCGGCATAGGACCAGTGGAGTGGGGCTAAAAGTGTTCACGACCGAAACACCACCACCATTGGCTGTACGGAACGAACAAGTGAACGACCATAGTTGACCCTGTAGTCATCCCATACATGTACTCAGAAGCTCTGCATGTTTTGTCCTGACAATACAGCCGTGTCCCGAGTTCTCTGTCTTCTCCCTATCGCGTAGTCTGGCAGGTTCAGTGCAGGCCAAACCAATAGACGGCCACCCACGTTACAACAAGGAGACTGCAGGAAAACTGGAGTGGTCAGTGGCTTGGGATTTTAAACTGTGGATAAGAAACGCCAGTGATCTACCCAGCGGAACCACGCCAAAAGTTCATTTTTTGAATAGTACACTTATTGTAGAACTACACTGGCATTGCCGAAAGATTATCGACAAAACTGAAAAGTTGATCCCTTAGAAAGTTGAATCTTCCCAGTTGGCGGAAAAGTTGCACGCTTCAAAGTGTTCTCTCTTGAGGCTAGACCTGCAAATTTGAATGTATAAGTTAAACCGTACCAGTTACTGATTTTGGCGAACAAATCACACAACCAACCAGCCAGTTGGTGAAATAGGAGTCCTTTATTTTGAACAACATACCCTGATCCTGCCGCTTCTCATCGGGAACAGGAGCATTCACATCGGTGATGGAAAACAGGGCTACACGATAGGGATTCAATGTGGCGGTCTGGGTGTTTAGTCCAAGTTCGGCCAACAGAGCGGAGCATTTGAGAATAGAACCCGCCTGCGTAGTCAAAACGAGCAGCAGAAGCGAGCTGAGATCGGCTAGCGGATGACAGGCTTTTATATTGGTTCCCTGGTTCGGACACTCAGAGGTTACCAAGTTCGTGAGGGGAACAACTTCTGTGGATGAATGATCTGCGCCGATTGTTTTTGTTTTCAACGACGTTGTTGGTGTGGATGTAGCCGTGGTTGACGTCGTCGTTGTGGCCTGTCCACGGTTTGCATAGCCCAGGGTGACTACAGATAGTAAACCACCTAAACAGGGATATACGGTGAAAAAGGAAGAAGGGACAACTGAAAAGAAGCAACTGGAGTCAACCGATGTTAGGTAGTTTTTAAGATATTCCCTAATGAAATTTTGTGACCCTTGGCGTTTTGAGTTGCACGGAAGGCATGGGAATAGGTTTTTGACAACTTGAAAGCACCTATGAGCCCCCTCCGAAAGCCTCTCTAGTAAGACAGCGGCAACACTTTACTGTTTGAATGTCCAACATAGCATAACAGCAATCGCTGATTCCGCGGATTAAATATAATATAAAATAAATCGGTTAGCTGTAGCATCCTTTCGGTGCCTAACTGCCATGCCGCATGAGGGCTGGGATACTGCCAGGTGGCCCCAGCCTAGACAGGGGAAGTCGAGAGGCAGAGGTCGGGTTCGAACCACGGATCTTCCAGTCAGTAAATTCGCGCTCTAACCACTTGGTCCATCTCGCCCCGTGGATTGCAACCAATGGACAGAGAGTAACACATCCCTCAAATTAGTTAAAAGGAAAAAAATCGCCACTGGGGTGCCCATTTTAGTTAAGAGGATAACAATTTGGACCGATTCTGAGAGTTTCTGTCTGGGGGTCGTTTTATCAGCAAACATCGGCGCTTTATTGAAACAACCGTTCGGTTCCAAGACCCGTAAACGCAGTGAATTGCTTCACTTGTCCAACTTAATTAGCATATGTGCTATCAAGTGACGTGTGGATTCCGACTAAGATAAGCACAACAACGAGGTGAATCTGAGAATTAAACGTAGAAGGGATGGTACTAATGAGAGTTGTGTTGTTTCACGTTTCAAGGACTACAGATCACGATTACCAGTCAATCGGATAGTGAACCACGCAGGAGGCTTGGAATCTTACTGTATCGTTCTGAATAACCACCAGTATCCGGAAGAATATCTGAATTAGTCAGTAGCCGGTTGGGCGAGGAAGCACACCAAACATCGAATTTTCCAGTTGCGAAAAACGGTCTTCGGACGGGCGATCTAAAGATAACAGTATGGAACGGTTAGTCCAAGGTGCACATGTTCGGTCTCTCTACGCCGACCCGTTGAATTCAAATTGAGACAAAAGGGCTCATGCGGTAGAGCCTTTCCGGGACCCGACCATAACTTTACTTTCAGCATTTCCGCCTGTTCTGGATGATCGCTACATCGGTACCTGGGATCTTCCCAAAATTCGCTCCGCTTCGTTGTACTCCCATCGCAGCCTTCATGAGACTCCAAACCCGGGTGCGCTGCCAAAATCGTGTAGCCTTGGTAACAAACAAGCATGTCAGACATTAACATTATGACGCCATAGTCATCAATTTGACGACAGTTCCCCGTTCAGCAAAGTGCTGCAAACTGCAAAAATTCTCCTGATTTCCCTCGAGCAATGGAGCACTTAAAAGTTACGAACTTCGCTTAGTTCCACTTAGTTCCGTTAAGCGACATTTCAAGAATAACTCGACCTACTCGACCTCATGTACGTGTTAAGCACAAGGAATGTTTTTGGTATCAAATTAGTGGTCAAGAAAGAGAATGCCATCTCGCCAGACAGAAACTGATCCGCATTCTGGCGGGCCGGAAGACAATCATTGTCAAGGATGACAATCTGACACCCAAACCTGCAGACATGTGTATCGCCTACGAACTGCATGCTCACTATCTTCTTTCTGGATGCGAACTTTACTCACAATGCTATAGAATACGCTATTGTTAGATCATTCGCATCTGTTTGGGCGTCAGTGAGGACGATACGTTGTCGAATCACGTGTGTGTGACATGCCCCTACGTTTCTATGTTACTGTGACCTAGATAGTACGTTCTAAAGCACATGTGATGTGCAATTGCACGGACATCTAAACGAGGGCAACAACTGAGCGTATGGAAGTTGAATCCGCTGCGCAGACAAATGAGATGCGCACAGAACGTTATTGTAACATTCGTGGATAACGAACGTGAAACACGCGAGCTAAAGTGTACAAAACCATAGGGAGCCAAGTTAAGAGCATGGTATGTTGCGTGTGTAGCACGATCTCGGAAAGACGCGTCCTTCGGCGACCCAGCCCAATTTGAATTCGTAGTGGCTTTTGTGGATAACAAAACATCCGATACGCATCGAAGTGTAAGTCACTTCATATTATCACCGACAGCTAATTGGTCAGATTTTACCTGTTTCATGGTTACTATTCGGAGAGATACTAGCCTGCGGCACAGCTGGAACTTGGCGGAGCGCTCATACCACCTCCTGAGGACTAATAAATATTTGTAGTGCCGATTATCATAGCGGAAAGTCAGTGGTACTGACCAGTATTCCCGAAATCTGTCGAACGTAGATACAATATTGACCCAATTAGGTGATCCTGAGGTTATCTGAGGGGCAAGACAGCAAGTGCTTCCAATGAACTTCATGGGTTTGACATCTAGAAAGCTTAGTAGGATACCGTATTCGAGTCAGCGCGGTAAACACTTGTCTCCCGAAGGCAGAATTATCCCTCAGATTTTGGCTCATCACTAGTACACCCTCGTTGTAACATAACAGTCACTTCGCGGTGGTGTGGAATTAGGTAGTTCTTTGGAAATTTAGAACCATCTGAGTGACGGACTATAAATCAAACTTCACCGAAAACTACATCAAGGTGTTGCCGAATTCCGAGGAGTGCAGTTTGAAAAAGGAGAGATAAAAAGTGGTCACACGAAATTAAAACGATTCGCGGGAAATCAGTACTTCAAGTTAATTTCATCAGTGTGCAACAGCGTAAACGAAGAACGAATATTAGGATGAACACTAAACAGTTATAAAGTGAGCATTTGGTCCACATTACTTTTTGTGAGCACAGTTTCAGCCTCAGTTTTTGTCTGGATTAATATTGCTCCACAAAGTCAGTAGTTTTAAAATTCGCTTGCGTAGTAGCGGAAGTACATCAGTCCAACGGATCTGCTATACCATGACACGGTAGTTCGATGACATGTTAGCTTCGACATCAACGATTGAATCCGTCTGTACTTATTCAAAGCCATCATAGAACAGCAGAAAGAGGAGCAATAAAATAGGGACGGTGAAACAAATGCGAAGTGCTCAGCCATTTCCTTACGAATCTGTCACTTTGTAGAACACACGCCGTTCGTCTTGATATTGGTCGATTCAGCCAACTCAGAGATACACAGATTGTGGTTTTCAAATGTTCGATCAAATGAGGGACAATAACATTGGCGCTCTACACGAGGAACTCTTAAGTCGGCGTACTGATATCCAACGGTAAACAAGGTCAGTGCAGCATCCAGGCAAAAAAACAACTTACATACGGATGAATGCAGTCGCAAAGTCAATAAACAATTGATCGGCGGTGTAACTCAGCTAGGTGACTTTTCACAGGATGAGCGAGCAAAATATTAGTTTGCAACTGTAGGTGACTTGGGGACGAAAATTACGGTAGACTCGAGTAGATCTATCGGAAATTTGTCATTGGTGATCACAATGATGAGCGAGAAACCTTGTCAAACGAACGACGTATGTGGAAAATGAGCAGTGAACCAAAACACTGGAATTACTGACATTGGGTGGGCGAATACTATGTGCATGGGTAGATATCGCGTGTTCGCAGCTGCCAAGTTGAACTGGGAAGCACTATTCCCACTACTTACGCAACGGCTAAAATTCCGGGGCTGATGTAGATCAGTAGTTGAGGGATGAAACTGACCGGAAGGTCCACGGTTCATAACCGATCTTGGCTTTTTGACTGATCCTGTCTAGACCTGGGCAAACTGGCAATATCTCAAACCCCGTGGCTCTTACAAGGTAACTATGCACTGAAAGAATATCGGGGCTGAACAGTCATTTATTTTTTATTCCTAGATTTCGGGGAGACTTCTACTATGTCGGGGTTTCAGTAGTACCATTAAAAATCGAGACTCCTGGGTGTCTTGTGTTTGGGACTATCGACATTTATGTCTAAATCGGCATCACTGAAATGGCTCAGTGAATTTGGTTTTTTATCCAATACTTCCCTCGTTCTATGAGCGTGGATGCTTACAATATATAAATGCAAAGAAACTCTCAGAGGCTACATGACTGACTATTACACAAATGTCATATCGCCCATGAAAATGAACCAAAATAATCACTTACCAACCTCAAAAGATCTGATTTATGTTGCAGCCCTTAATATCCGACAGACATCCTTTGCTGAAGCTTTACTTTCCCTTTTTGTCGATGTATGTTGTCCCCGAATGACGAATACAAGACCTCACTTTGGTCAGGCATCTCAAGCCGATTCGGGCGAGCTCAGATGTTTCACATTTCACTTTTTTGGTATTAGGTGATCCTGATACTTACAATATATAAATGCAAAGAAACTCTCAGAGGCTACATGACTGACTATTACACAAATGTCATATCGCCCATGAAAATGAACCAAAATAATCACTTACCAACCTCAAAAGATCTGATTTATGTTGCAGCCCTTAATATCCGACAGACATCCTTTGCTGAAGCTTTACTTTCCCTTTTTGTCGATGTATGTTGTCCCCGAATGACGAATACAAGACTTCACTTTGGTCAGGCATCTCAAGCCGATTCGGGCGAGCTCAGATGTTTCACATTTCACTTTTTTGGTATCAGGTGATCCTGACGCAATGGCTCGCGGTATCTACGGTGTCGGAGTTAAACTTAGCCCCAAGACCGAAAGCGTCTTACTAGAATGGATCCCAGTAAACAGTGGCCAATGCGCTGTGCGGTTGTCTGGCTCAATTAAGATCAATGCAGGTCGGTGCGGTAAACGGTGTTTGTTTTTCGTATCAGCATACGCCCCCCGCAGAGTGCAGTTCTGAGACTGAGAAAGACCGGTTTAATCGAAAATCTGTCGCGACCGCTTCGTCCAGCAAGAAGAATGGATATAATAATCCGGGTGGGTGGTTAGAGGTCACTAGAAGAATTCGAACGGCTTCCGACACTACGTGGTTTACCTTTGGTTCCGAAGCGATTGTTGCGACTAGTG